CCCAACACCCGATTGGGCTGTCAATTTCCCGTGCGTAATACAAAATGACTGAAAAACGGCAAACTTCGCATGGCTATATTATCCGCATTTTACAACATTTCGCAACGAAACTTTGGAATATTACTAATTTTGTGATGCTCATTCAAGCTGTGATGAAATTTTTGTCTACATCAAAATTTTGTCTATAATGCAAATGGTCCATTATTATGAAGTACATTACGGTAACGCATGGGTTGGGTGAACATTATTTTGACCATTGTTGAGGTTGGGTAAATAAATTTGCAGTGTCTTTCGTCTCTCGTCGGTACCAACCCCTGGTATAAATAATGAACGATCCCTTAAGTAAATTTAAAGAAATTTAGCGTATAGCTAGAATCATTCATTCCCGTGTGCTTCTCTTTTCCAGGAAGAGAAAAAACTGCGCGGAAGTAAGAAATTCACCACGTTGGATACAAGAAAAGATGGCGTACGTTTTACAAACTCTGTGTTAAGGCAACTGAACGATCAGTTCCAAGCCTTGAAACAAAGTTATGATGACACTCAAAGTAATCTGGCGGACGAAGTTATTAAAATTGCAAGTAAGATTTATTGAAGCAAGTAAGAGGCAGGAGTGAAAAAAATATTTTCCCTTCTGGGACGGCAAGAGAACATTGAAAATGTTCTGCAAATAATCAAATAAATCGACACTCGGTCACTGTGACTGTGTTACACTAACAAGTTGTCAAACTGGATGTCACGCTATATTTTCACAGAAAAAGAATTATTTCAGTGCACTGAGAATCTTAATCTTTTAGGAATATAACATAAAACTAACCAAGGATCTGATCCTAAGGTACAAATGCCAAAAAAAGGGCACTATTAGGGTGGAGGGGGGGGGGGGGCACTATCAGGGGGATCTGTTCTCCCCCAGAAAATTTTGAAAATCAGGTGTCCCAGATTGGCTAAAAATGCATGACCCATATTTTTACACGTACATTTTCCTTTGTTAAGGTGGCTACGGTGAACCCATGCAATTACTAAGTGATACTCTGGCAAAACTCGATGTCTTAATAAGGTAAATGTTTTAACTTCAGGGAAAGTACTAGGTTTTGCTGGTTGTGCAAAACTGTTAAAGATGTCCTTTCTAATTTTTTTTTTTCTGTAGTTTTTCCCATGTGGCTGCTTGTGCCCCTATACCGTACTGCAGACCGAAAATCTTGCCCAAAGGTTTGTACCGTGTATGTCGTATAAACAGTCTCTTGACTTGACGAAGTGTTGTCATATAAACAGTCCCTTGACTTGCTAGCGTTGGACGGGAAAATATGTCAGTGCAGCCTTTTTAAAAGATTAAAGAAACTGTAATAAAATATTTTGTTTTTCCAGAACAAGGTTCAGTAATTCTTACAGCAGCTAGACACCCGTGTCTCGAGGTCCAGGATGAAATTGCGTTTATTCCAAATGATGTTACTCTCAACAGAGGTACGAAACAAACAGCTGACTGTATTGCAAATTTAAGTTCCAATTAAATGTGTTCTAGTGCTCTGGCATTGCACTACTTGTTTACGTTGTTCACATCACTGTTTTACGTCCAATCATTGATTTTATAGAAGAACAATCGTTTCTAATAATAACCGGTCCAAACATGGGTGGAAAATCAACGTACATTCGTTCTGTAAGTCGCTAATATCTAACTTTATTTATACTGGATACTGCTAGCAGTTCTAAACTGTCCAGCTGTTCTCCCTGAGGTCTCGTGTAACGTATAGCCTAAACTTACTACAGCAATACAACATAGCTCTGCCAGTTCTAAACAAGTCCCTTTAGAGGTCCATAAGGCTATCTGGACCAGATTTACTACAGGATGAAACCTGGAAGAAACCAGCAATGTTTGGCAGAGTTCAAATTGGAAATGCTCTTCTCGCATGCAATTGAGGCGAAGTTATAACCGGATAACTGCACAGGAATAAAATCCCAATCATAGAGATGAAAGACAAAAGCAGTCAATTATCTTCTCTAGGTAAGTGTCGCAGTACTGATGGCTCAAATTGGATGTTTTGTTCCCTGTGAAGCGGCAGAGATCTCTATCAAGGACGCCATATTAGCTCGCGTAGGCTCTGCGGATAGTCAGCTCAAAGGTGTTTCAACTTTCATGTCGGAAATGTTGGAAACAGCATCTATACTTCGGGTACTTGTAGTTTGTATCTGCTTTATTGTAGCCATAGTTGTACCATACCATACCATACCATACCATACCATACCATACCATACCATACCATACCATACCATGCCATACTGAGCCAAACCATACCACATACTTTGCCATTTCAATTCGCCCCATACCGTATTGCACCATACCACACACTACCACACCCAATCACACTGCACCATATTAACTATTTGATATATTTTTTTCAAAATTTTTTCAAATTAGATTAGTTTCATTTACCCACAAATAATATTTACAAATTGAATATTTAAGATAGTACGTATATAAACGGGCTAGAGACCTCTGGAAATCCTGTTGGACTTTTGAGACAAAACGATGCCATACCAAACCACATCATACCACACCCTACCATGCCAAACTCCACCATACCATATACGGATATACCATACCATATATCATATCATCATATACTTCATTAAAATTACTTCAGGATTAACAACTGTTCATTTTGATATTTTATTTTTTCCTATTCCCCTTCCATAGAGTGCCACGGAAAATTCTTTAATTATTATTGACGAACTTGGACGGGGAACGTCGACATATGACGGATTTGGTTTAGCTTGGGCTATCTCAGAGTTAGTATAAAAACTAATCCATCATTTCCACCAATTTTAATAGTTCGTTAGTCCCAAGCAGGCACTGGTACTCATTCATCAACTGAGTTAACTGAGAGAGAACACAAGAGAGACTTAACTATAGTAAAATGTATGCTGTACAATGTGTGCAATACATTTTATACTAAATCTTTATATTTCCACCCAGGTTTATATCGACACGTATTAAAGCGTTGTGTCTCTTTGCAACACATTTCCACGAGCTCACTGCTTTGGCAGATGTTGTCCCAACTGTTAGAAATTACCACGTGACGGCGATGACTACTGGAGACACTCTTACATTACTATACAGGATAAAAACAGGTAGGGAAAGTCTTTACGCTTTTTCATTCTCGTTTTAGTTCAGCTTTCTTCCGACAATAACATTACACTGGAGTCCACTGGACCAAATAGGGAAGTTGCTTACTGGACCAATTAGGGATGTCGTTTAATGGACCTCTGGGAGAACTATTTATATTGATAGAGCTATCCAGTATCAAAGTAAGCTTTCCTCCTGTAGTAAAACTTAGGTACAGGTATGTAGTATGAAGTAAGTTTAAGTTAAGTTTGAAGTAATGGTTTGAATACAAAATTTGACAATAATTAAAGTGGCTTCACCCTTGGCAACCGTTCAGGTCTAAAATATGTGTAAAATTTTCGCTCTACATTTCAATCAAGAAAAACCCTTCAATATACTATGCAAAACTTTATTATAAATTATGATTTTAAATCAGTCTAAAATTGTGGAATTTTCAACGAAAATCGCGTTCGTTTAAATGCTCATCACGGATATAAATTTGTGTCCTCATTTGACTTCATAATTTAGGAACGTTATTCATCGCTTGATACTATGACAATAGCAGGCGTGGTTTGTATAGAATTAGAATACAGAATTAGACGCCGGACTGTCAGGGAAATATCAGGCACAATTTGTTGCCAAGACCCATTTCCAGTTTAGATGGCGCTACGCTCTGACTAATTCGTCAGATAGATAGTTCGTGTGGATACTTCTCCTTGGGCCATAGATATCTTATATACACTAGATAGTGCATCTAATTATTTGGCAATTCAAAAATTGAAGCCGTGATTGCAGACTCGTGATATTCCCATGAAATGAGAAGACTCGTATGTTTTCTATTTCTTAAACAGGGAACTTAAACATTAAGTTAAACCTATTCCACATACATTTTTAAACTATTCAAATGATGAAAGTTATTGTTGTTTTTTAAGCGTTTATTAGCGAGTGGGAAACTCCAATATGGCCGCCATCTATTCAAATGGGAATATTCTTGGCTTCAATTTTACTAAAAGAGATGCGCTATCTATAGTGTATATAAGATATCTATGCCTTGGGCCAGTTGTTAGAAAACCGATTAGCTTAAAACCGATTAGCTTACCCTAGGTAAACCTAAAATTCAAAGTGAACTTCCCAACAACTTGTTTATAAATTTGGAAATATTTCATTATAAATGTTGTCTGGATCAGTAGGAATTTTCTTCCTACTACGTAATACGTAAACTAAAGCAGCAGGTTAAATTTTAAACTAGGGTTAGCGCTAATCCAGCTTTGAACAACCGACACAAGGAGTCTGTTTGAACACATCTCGTGTTTAAACTAAGCCAGGAATCCCGACTATGGTATAGCATCTGGAAACACCACAGCGCTGCCATACATACGAGGTGTGTTCATTGCAGGCATTTCTTTCCATTCCTGCGTTTCAAGACTGAAACACTCAACAGAATTGAGATAATTCTTCTCATCATCTCTGCCTCCCATAACCACGACCATATTATCCACCAGTACTGCCGTGCAAGCAGCCCTCTTGCTTCTCATGCTAGGAAGATGCTTATTCCTGCCCGTGTCGATGCTGTAAACAACAACGGAATCTAACACGTTGCCATCTTTGTCTTGCCCACCCAGAAGAACCAAGTTCCCGCCATGACGAACAACTGCCATCTGACTGACTTCAGTAGGTAATGGCGTTAGCTCTTTCAGTTTTCTTGTGGAAATATCGAAGGCAAGGACGCTCTTAGTGGCATCTTTAAATCGGTTGCTTGTACGTCCACCTACAATGACGACCTGAAAAAGACATATAGCTTTACTATGCTGTCATGTAGGTTGTTTCCATAAACACATATTTTATAGTGGATTCGTGATAGCCTAAACCTCAAATGGTTGGATCTCAGCGTTGGCAGTAGCGTCCTTTAGTGCAGATTAGATTCTCGCTAGCCTAAATTTTGAACGGTTAAACAAACAAACTGTTTGTTCTCAGTGTACTGTAGGTAGTAGTTTTGAATTACACGTCCTTTGTGGTAGATTCGTACTAGTCTGAACGTCAAACTGTTGTTTCTCAGTGTATAGGTAGTGGTTGTGAAATACACGTCATTTGTGGTAGATTCTCGCTATTTTGAACTCGAAACAATTGGTTCTCAGTGTGGGTAGTAGTCATGAAATCCACGTCCTTTGTGGTAGATTCCCAGTAGACTAAACTATACTTTTACCCAGGGCGCTTATATATAACAAACACTAAGATATTGGCAGTATTACCTGAAAATACAATAGCAGAATCTACTAAATTATTGTATAACATCGGAATTTTACCCCCAATATCTATTTCTTCATCAAAACTTGACTACAAAACAGTCAAAACTTCCAGCTCAGTTTTCCCGCCATATTTATCCTTGCCATAAGACAACGTCGCACAACAAACTCGTTATCAGTTCATTGCATCACACATCGATCGGCGCGCCTATAGCCGTTTCACCGCCCTACATATAAGCGCCCTGCTTTTACCTGCCTGAAAGGTAATTGAGTTTATTGAGTTTCTCAGTCACTGGTGAGCGGATTTCCCAACAGTCTATTGCCCAATTGATAGGGGATCTAGCGGATCCGAGGTACCTACGATTATAACGTCCTTATCCGAGAAGAGGCGAAAGTCTAACCATTTACTGATGTCAATATAAAGGTAGCTCTTTCTCCTCAGTTATTTTAAGACCTTGAATAGGGATCCGACCAAGAATTGAACGCAGGTCTCCCAGCTTGAAAGGCAAGCGTGGTGACCACGATGTGCTGGTCTACTGTAATTACTTTTACTTATAATGGCATCGCTTGTGTTAATCTAATCTGACCTCCCCAATTCTAACCTTACCTATTAATCTAATCTGATCTAATCCAGTCTCATCACTACCACAACGATACCTTGTTATCATGTAACACTGCTCGGTGACCAACTCGAGGCTCCGGCATATGGCATACAGTTTGCACTGAGTGAGGAGGCGTGATGGAAATCTCGTAGATCTCATCCGAAATCTTATTTTCTTCGCTGTTCTCACCCCCCGTAATGAAGAGACGTTTCTGGTGTGCAACTATCTGATGACGATTGCATTTCAGGGGGAGGAGGGCAGGAAAGTCACGCCATGTCTTCGGACTTCGAGTCGTGTTCATACCTGAAAATTATAAAATATTCATCTTTATCTCATGGCTTATCAAGGTATAACAAAATAAAATTGTTATACCTTCCATCCGATCCGTGCTGGTATCTCCATTAAACCCTCCAGCGACAATAACATTATTTTGGTAAAGAAAAGCAGACGGTGCCAAACGGCTTTCCTTCATGGCTCCTGAGGTCGTCCATGTTTTGGTCGCAAAATTGAATATCTCAGTAGAATTGAGATACATTTGGCCATCGTGACCACCAGCTATGAGAATGTTGCATTCTGGAACGTTGCTAGGTTGGTTGCTAGGTTGGTTGCTAGGTTGGTTGCTAGGGCATTGCTGGGTCGTCAGTTCTCTGATGGTGTTGTTCATATTAGATATCATTGCAGCCATGTTCTTGATGGTCTTGTCTTGAGCTTTTTCCCTTGAGGAATAAAAGAAAAAATTGTAAAAAATAGGTATACCATTGAACATTATAGTCCAGTTTACATTCGGTCAGTGTACACCGTCCAGCTTTGTTTATAGATCGGTCATACCTCTCATCCATCTTTTTCATCGCCTCCATCAATTGGTCCATCTTATCCTTCATTTCAGCACTTTCCTCCTTCAAATCCTCTATGATCCCCTTGAGTACACAACCATGCGTATCGTACTTCTTATACTGAACCCTTTTCCCACAGCCACTGCATTTCACCTTTCTGTACCTACAAACCTAGTGGAAGTAATTAGTAAAACCTTATTTCACGAAGGGAAACGTATATAATGTCTTCACAATATTTCAAAATTTAGCAGATAGACATGACTACAGAAAAAAGTACGCCTGGTTTCGGCATACCGTGTAACCACGGTTTGTTCTATTAAAGTACGCCTGTTTCAGGGTCTTAGCTAGGATTTTAGATCTTGGGCGTGTTTCTAATGGCCAGGGTGTGCACATGCAATTACCTTGCATAGCCAAGTTCACGGTTCTAGTTATGCTTGCCAAAAACAGACAATTCCTGTGGTTGTTTTATGCTTTGCAACCAATTACAAGGCGTGCATACGCTCATATTGCGCACTGACATTAGAATATTAAGTTCAGCAACTCTTGGGGTATTTAAAACCATTTTAACACCATACAGTTCCCATTATCCATCAAAACATCACGGATCACTTTTGCCAATTTCAACAACAACAGTAGATTTTACAAACTTTCTTACGACGTAAATTGGAAGAAATTCTGTCTGTTGTAAGTACTGTAGCACCACCTTATTTTACCGTGAACCTACACGGCTTTGTATAAGATAATGAAGCCGCGTTCATTTTATCTAGCCGTGTTTTTCCAGTTTTGGCCGCGATAACACGGCCAACACGGCCCTCTAGCTAAGACCCTGGCCTGTTTTCGGTATACCTTATAGCCATGGTTTGAAATCTACATGCTGTGTTTCTCTGAAATCTACATACTGTGTTTCTCTGAAATCTACATACTGTGTTTCTCTGAAATCTACATAGCTACTGTGTTTCTCTGAAATCTACATACTGTGTTTCTCTGAAATCTACATACTGTGTTTCTCTGAAATCTACATACTGTGTCTGGATTTTGCTATGTGAAATAGTATAAGAAGCTTGCAATTCTCACATACCTCATTTTCATGATGCTTTTTATCCTTCCTATTTAAAGACTTCGAGCAGCCTTCGTTAGCGCAGTCGACCGGCATAAAGTCGCATACTTGTACATGCTTCTGCAATGCCTTTAATTCCACCAACGTTTTGCACCCCCTGGCCTCAAATTCACAACTAATTTTCAATGTAGCTAAATAATCTGCTACAATTCTTGATGGTTCTTTAAGCGTCTTTACAGTCAGTCCGTCTTGGCAATTGGGGCAGGTTTGAGCGATTTCTAGATACTTGGTTATGCAAGCACAACAGAAATAATGTTCATTTCGCCTGCATTGGACTGGATCTCGCAGAACCTGATGGCATATAGGGCAATGAAAGTTCTCGTTCACTATCACTGGAAAGCGTTTGTCCGCGTAGCCTTGAGGATAGTTCATTCTTGAACAGCATTGGCAGCACTTCAACTCTCTGTCTCAATCCCCGCAGCTTCAGATCTTGCCAATCTATTCATATACAAAAGTGGTAGATCAGAGCAAGCGCCTTTTGCCTATGAGATCGTTGCGGACTCATGACGCTTACGTGGAAAGAGTCGGTCAACGTTCTATCGGAAATCTCCGGTTTCCTCCCGCAGGGAATGCTAGAAATGTTGACAGGGTGGGTTGGATGACTTCCAACGTACCCTCTGATCTGATATGTATCACAAGGGTGGCTGCTAGAGGCGCCCTTAGAAACTCTTCGACTCGATCAGCTTGAGCTGCGTCCTTCGCAATAGACCTTTCCCCTTATGAGTGAAATTTTGATCTAGATATACCTGGACAAAAATTTCATCACAGCTTGAACGAGCATCACAAAATTAGTAATATTCCAAAGTTTCGATGGGAAATGTTGTAAAATGCGGATAATATAGCCTTGCGAAGTTTACCGTTTTTCAGTCATTTTGTATTACAAATGGGAAATCGATAATCAGATGATCAAACTGATTATCAATTTCCCGTGCGTAATACAAAATGACTGAAAAACGGCAAACTTCGCAAGGCTATATTATCCGCATTTTACAACATTTCGCAACGAAACTTCGGAATATTACTAATTTTGTGATGCTCTTTCAAGCTGTGATGAAATTTTTGTCCAGACTTGTCTAGATCAAAATTTCACTCAAAAGGGGAAAGGTCTATTCAGCTTGGCTCTCAGCTTAGACTTGCCACAAGTTGACTTCTTAACAATAATTCTTAACAATAATTTAAGCGAGCGACGAAGGACTTTGCGAAAGTCTACTCTCAGCTTAAAGTAAGGATGGTTAGCGCACCCCACTTACACCCCCACAGGCGTCATTATAAACCCTGTTATAAACTTTCGACTCCATCCATAGACTCAATCACGTTTGAACTGCGTCCTCCTTCGCAATTCAGCTTAACGTCCTACTTGTACGTTTAAGTCCCATACAGACGAGCAAGTTTTCGTTGACAGGTTTCGTGTATTCCTTGACAAGGAGACACTGGTCGTGCCAGCTTTTTCAAGAAGGAAAATTGCTCGTGTATATAGCCGTCAAAGAAAACTTGATAAGTATTAATTAAGTAATTGCGGAGTACGTCATTGTGCACTCATCTTCGAGCGGCCATTGTCATAAAATCTCGATTATTTTGAAATTCGCGTTCGTGAACGGTTTCAGCTGTTTTTAATTTTGTTGAACGAAAATTATATCCTGAAATTGTTGGAACTCGTCAAGGAAAACTTGAGCAAGTCTTTACCGGGGCCGTATTCGTGTGCACACACGCGGATTGAATCTCCCATGCATGCAAGCGCCTCGTGGTGGTAAGAAGTGTGTTTGGTTTACGTCTGTGATGATTTCAATAAGAAAGAATCGGGTTTTTTTATCTTGGTAGTCTACTAAGTGACTCCATGCAGTCTCATTTCATATCAACATGCACACAAATAATTTACAACTATCAGCCGTTGCTTGTGTCTGCTCCCGTCGCTTGTGTCTGAAAACGTGAACGCTTCTGACCACAGGCCTTCGCTCCAGACATCAACGTTCACTTACTAATCTTTTTCAGGCAGTTCAGACACAAACACGGCAGCTCATTGACATTATAGATGACTACCTACACTAGAGTGTTTGAAATATCATACTATTATATTTACGAACATTGAGATGGACCACTCACGTGAATTTCATGTGATCTTCTGTGCTTTGTTGTGCGATGCCTCTATGACAGAGCAAACACTCTATAGTGGACCATCAGGCTCTCTGTTGTATCTGGTATAATTTGGTTAACTGCTACTTTCGCTTTACAAAGAGTCTAATATATTAGTTCGTAGAAACAGACAGGAACTTGATATCAAGCCCTTCGAAAGGTTGTGACCCACATTCCTTTTAAGGAGCGATTGAGTGGGCGGTTTGCAAATAAAGACTTGATATATCTGACTGTGTCTTCGTTATCTATTCATCTACATTATTGCACAATATATTAATTTTAAAACATACTGTCACAGATACTTTAAGAGTTAAACTGGATAGTTCTATCAGTTTTTAACTGCTTTACCTGGAGAAACTCTAAACTAAACGTCTAAAGTAGCTACCACTGGAACTATTAGTAACTTTAGTTACATTGGATAGTTCTATTAGTTATAATGATTTACTTGTTTAATCATGCAGAGGAATTTAGCGCTTATTTTAAACAATTTACAGTGGGGGGCCAAAACCAATATTAGTCCAGTGTGGGTTCCCCAGAGTAAGATTTGGGTCTCTCAAGGTAAGGTTAGGGCCCATTCTGACCAGTGGGACCTGTTACCCTAAAGTGATCCACTGATGATGCAGAGATGTTGTACAGAACTCACTGCTGAGTTAAGCATGGTTAGATCATGTAAAGATAGTACATGTTCTTGAATGTGGGCTACCTTAATATGATCTGATGTTGTACAGAACTCACTGCTGAGTTAAAATTAAGCATGGTTAGATCATGTAAAGATAGTACATGTTCTTGAATGTGGGCTACCTCAAAATGATCTGATGTTGTACAGAACTCACTGCATGGTTAGATCATACAGAGGTAGTACATGTTCTTGAGCATTTTTCTTGAATGTGGATTACCTTAAAGTGATCTCATGTTGTACAGAAGATCAGCTAGATTATGTAAATATAGTACATGTTCTTGATCAGTGAATGCGGGGCTGCCTTAAGTCCAATTTGTACTCTTGTTCTTGCTGAAGCCTGAAAACATGTTGCGGCTGCGCAGACGTACACTTATTCGCGCAAGGTTTGCACCGCATGCACCAGACAGTATTAGCATATTTGTATACAAGAAGCGTTTCGATGCAACTTTGAATTGTTGGCAATGATGACATCGCAGGGGTCCTGAAAACAGTTGACATGTGAACTGTCTGGTGGACTTTGACCCGGTAGTCTCCAGTACTTCGTGTAGCTTGAGAGATTGACCTTGAGTCATTGAACACTGGGATTGCGAACACCTGAGCCAACATATATGTTATTGAGAGCCCCATGGTGGTCAGTGCACTTTCCACCTTTGTGATTTTGAATCGACCTGACCGCGTAGTTCAGTTGGCAGAGCATTGGGCTAGTATTCCAAAGGTCATAGGTTCGATTCCCACCGTGGCCAGGCATATTTTTCAAGCTTGCCCGGTGTGGATATACACTCAGAGTAACATCACAAACATCATATTCACCTGAGTACATAACACCAACACAGAAAAATCATGGATTTTGATTTCCGCAGTTGTCAGATTATAATTTCACCTCACTTGTAGCCTGCACGGAGTCTTATGACTGAGTTTAACGCTGATAGAGCTATCCAGTATAACATTAAAAATTAAACATTTCCTCCTGTAGTTTAGACTAGCAAGAGATGTTCGTTATCCGACCTCTAGGACTGATAAAGTTATCAAGTTGATATAAATTTAGTTCACATGTTGTTCAGTTCTCTTCTAAGTCAGTCAGTTCGTCTGACCATATTTTTTATGTAATTTGATTTTAGGTGTATGTGATCAGAGTTTCGGTATCCATGTTGCGGAATTGACTAACTTCCCACGTAAAGTTATTGAGGTTGGTCCTTGTACTATCGTCATTTAAACAAATATCTAGTTAAATTAGTGAAAAAATTATCTGTCAATGATGGCGAGAAATGTTTTTTGTTTAGTTTGCAAAAAGAAAAGCTGAAGAGCTGGAAGATTTTCAAGGTCAGACAGCTGATGATAACCAAGACAATAGTAAAGGTAACAATCTTCTTTGGCACCTTATTCGCCGATGTTGTCGTTGCCCGCTTTGGTACGTTGACAAAAAATCAGCATTGTCCTAAATATCCTCCTATATCCTCGTATCTCTTTCCACGGTATCCATTTTATCTCATCCCTTGTCTCCCAATTGTTTGTTGTCCATCAACTAGATGTCTCCAAGTTAACTTGACTGGATGTTACTCTACACTGTAACCTGAGAGTCTTCTTGTCTTAGGTTTAGTACTCTCATCATCATATCTGCTGTTAACTAAAACTAATTTTCTTTGTTGGTATTTTAGAAGAAACAATTTCTTGTGCCAAGAAACGTCGCATGGACAAAAAGGTAAAACTGCGTTCATTAATTGCCGAGTTTGTTTGTGTTGTTGCTGACGTTGTTGTTGTTATCGTTGTTGTCGCGATGTTGTTGTTGTTGTTAATGTCGCTAATGTTGTTGTTGTTGTTGTTTTCGCAGTCTTGTTGTTGTCGTGTTGTTGTTGTTGATGTTGTTGTCGCGATATTGTTGTTGTTGTTATTGTCGCGGTGTTTTTGTTGTTATTGTCGCGGCGTTTTTGTTGTTGCGATGTTGTTGCTAATGTTGTTGTTGTTGTTTTCGCAGTCTTGTTGTTGTTGTTGTTGTTGTTGTTGTTGTTGTTGTTGTTGTTGTTGTTGTTGTTGTTGTTGTTGTTGTTGTTGTTGTTGTTGTTGTTGTTGTTGTTGTTGTTGTTGTTGTCGCGGCGTTGTTGTTGTTGTTGTCGCGGCGGCGTTGTTGTTGTTGTTGTTGTTGTTGTTGCTGTTGTTGTTGTTGTTGCTGTTGTTGCTGTTGCTGTTGCTGTTGCTGTTGCTGTTGCTGTTGCTGTTGTTGTTGTTGTTGTTGTTGTTGTTGTTGTTGCTGTTATGCCTTTTATTGTTCTTATTGCATTGTTTTTTCTCCAAATAATTCTATAATTCATCGTGCAGTAATATTTCTGTATTGCAGGAAGGGGATAAACTAATTCAAGAATATCTACAAAACGTGGCTGCCCTACCAGTTGATAATCTAACAGAATCCGAAGTTTCTTCAAAGGTTTTGGGTTTAAAGAATGCCCTATTTGCGAAAAATAATAATTATATTAACGATATGCTGACAAGAAATACTCAAGTCGTGTAAAACAATTGTTAGATTTTAATGGAACATGTTGATATGTCCAAAAACAGAGTTTATATAGATGTACAGATTTATATTACAGAAGTGAAAACTAGATCCAGTGATATTTTGAGGTCAGTGACACGCTGGCGAACTTTGTCACCAAGGCAACGGCATGACAATACTTCAAATAAGCCATGTGAATGTTACAATTACTAGAGTGTATTTTTTGCAACAAAATTTTTTACAACTTTAATTTGCGTTTGTTTTGGAGATGAAATAAGAACAAAAGCTTGTCTATTGTAAACAATTTCGAAATCTTGTTTTAGAAAAGTATAGCTGATTGTACTTGCAGCAAAACAAGTTGTGACAAAGCCTTTTTATTTATTTTATCCATATTTAATTAAAACATGGAAAAAAGAAGCCTTTTATAGTGGGTTAAAATATATTCAAATTTGCAAGGTGAATCTTATTTGAATTTCCGACAAGTTTGGGTTTAATATTTGTATAAATGATATAGCAAAATTTCTATGGAATATATAATCCAATGGCTGATAATGCGGGCAGCCGAAGCGATATTGCCAAGGTTTGTAGCCAATATTTAATATTTTACAGCTTTTCAAATTCAAATTCAATCTATATTAGTCGTTTAATTCCCCACAGAGATACAGCTAGTTTCCGACCGCATTTTGATAGAATTTGGAGAGGCTTTAATACAAGTATAGTATGAAATACAAATTGTAGTTGCAAAGGATATCAACTTATGCTTTTATATAGTTTTATGACAGGAAAAGGATATAATTTCGGTTACATTTGTTTATAAGTTAGCGTTTGGTATTAAT